GACCGGTTGCGGACGAAGCTGCGACCGTGGCGTGCGCTGCAAACTTGGCAGTAGCGGTAGGGAACTATGCCAAGGTAAGAGGGAAACTCCAAACTATATCAAGAAAACTTGTTAATTTATTCCTCACAGGTCACGGTGTCTCCAGTTTCCATGCATGAAGTGCAGATCTGGCCGGGAGTGTCAGATCGGCTGATGGCTGAACGTGTAAAGCCAGCAGTGTTTGATCTCGTAATTGCCGGAGGCGTCTTTGCCTACCTGGCAGCTTTTTATCATGTAAGTTAGGTTCTGCAAGCCATGCAGATTGAAAAAAAAATCGTGTGATTTTAGATTGTTAGTCGAGCTCAACGAGTACTCGAAGGTGCTATGCTCAGATTGCGAAAACGAGTGTAGGATATCGATTCGTTGCTATAAACTACATCAGGTCTCCATTTTGTTTCCTATTTCTCTCCAATTTTTGACTCAGAGAAAAAACAGTGAAGGACAAGTTTTGCACCAACATTCTTATCAAATTCTCGTGTTTGTGCCAGAAACAAAGTTTTAATGCGCTAGTATCAATTTACGTGGTAACGTTATATTCTGACGTCTGTTTCAATTGTGCTTCATCTCATTAGACTTTGTTGATAAATTAATTTATTAATAGATAAATTCTGATTATTTTTCTGCAACAGTCATCAGTGAAAGCTTATGGGAAGTGTCCGTAAAAGTCAATTCAAGAATTTGAGAGATTTGGCCATAATCTTCCTATGACCTCTCGAAAGGGTTCTATCAAGCGGGACGCGGAAACTTCCGCCCATACAATAATGATGATGATATTCGCATTCTATAGCGGAAGTCTCTCTTCGTAAATGGTCACAGAATTTGTATGATTCACCGGAAATTACGGGCTACCACTATCGGTGGAGATGTTTAGTCTATTTTCTCAAACTAGGAAGAATTTTGTTGCCTCTCCTTACTAAAACGTTTGACAAACTGCAGTTGCTTACTTCAAGTGGGTTCCTGATCTCGTAATATCAGATGATGATTAACTCTAGCATAGCGTACTATAGTCTGGTTATTCGCATACCAGTTACCAGAGCCAGTTCAAAATTCGTAATTTACATAAAATCTGCTGAGTCCGGTCCGTTTTCAACGACGCTTCGCAAACAACGACCTCTTTGACACGTGCCTTCATAGCAAATTGGCGTTTGCTCGAATCCCTCACAATTCGCACCTTCTCGAAGCTTTGCCATGCACTGATAGAAGGTTACGACGTTGTGACAAAAGAGATATCTAGAAAAAAGCTAGTACACTAGAACACCTCTTGACACCATACTTTAATCCTTAAAAACTAACTTTGATCCACAATCCATGTTTGTTTGCGAACAGTTTGGTCTCTCTGTGTATTCATACATATTGTCGGTGTATTTGTTCGAAAGTGCATCTTTGTTCGTGTAAGGTTGCAGCTCCTAAACTCTCATAGACGATCAAAAATATTGTTTTTATTTATAACCGGACTACCTTCATGGGAGCATCGGCAAAATGTGTTGGAGAGTAGCAGTCTGGATATGAAGGCGGGTACTGTTCTTCTCGCTCTTTGCGGGTCTGAAAGTGCTTCTGGTGGTGGCTAGAAGCCAGTGCCAAGAACCAGTTGGTCCCTATCGCGGAAAGCATCCCTATTCTATCTAAGCTTACCTGATGGCGTTGTCGCCATAACTCCCATATGTTGTCCATCATAGTATGGTGGTAGAAGAATATCGGCTAAATATTTTGCTGTTGTAATATTTCTTTGCACGATAATCAAAGACAGTGGACAGGTAAAATGGAACCTAGTCAGATTTTGGTAGCGTTAGGTAGTAGACCCCCCAAATAAATCGTAGCCCTACCTTCACCCTCCAGTTCATGCGCGGAGTCCCGAAAACTGCCCTCCAAAATTCCACCAGTGACGCCCACTCAGTGGAAGTGGGCGGGGCTG